AAAATCATCTTGAATACACAATAGCAATTTGTTTTCCTTTACTCTGTTTATTTACTCTAAAGATTTTCTGACCGGAAGACTTGTCAAATAATTTGATAAGTATGTAACACATATTACCTGACTATCGAGTCCAAGCATCATTATCATTAGAAAGAACAGAACAGCCCAAAGAGGAGAAATGGGCAACTTCAGGGTTGCTGACGGGTAGGCTAGGAAAGCAAGACCGGGACCTGGAATAAATATTAAATATTATTGTAATAATAGCAATTAAATTAATAGTTAATCGTATTAATGTCAAGGAAATATGGAACTCCACTAAAATATAGTTGTAAAATAAATAGAAAGATGAACTCATGAATACAAAACGTAATTCTTTACTGAGGATTTTGTTTTTAATTAGGTTAAAATTATGCTTAATATTGCATTCAACAGATTTTATTCACATGGTGATGTTAAAGGTAATATTTTGGTGTATTTTCGAATCATAAAAGTTTCTTATATCCAGTAATTTTACCTATAAATTGTTTCTTCATACGAAATACGTTTTCGTAGGATAGTATTTCAACTTTTAGTTTCTAGCATATTTAGTAGGTAATCAGAAAAGGTATAAACTAACGTTAGCTGTTTTTAGAAAAATATAATTTTCAAACTGTTTAACATAATATTACTCACCTGAAGCAGCAACCTGTTCTATGGGTTTTTGTTGTTCGTGTGCCATAAATCCAATAACGGAAAATATTACAAAACCAGAGAACATGGAAGTCCCACTGTTAATACACGAAACGATGAGAGCATCTCTGGAATAATAACGTTAAATTATAAAATTGATATATGCAAATTATGCTACGCTCTTTGTCCCATATTTATAACATTTTTATTTGTCAAGTTTAATAAAAACATTAAGCAAACGAAAAATCAATGTATATTATAAAACAATCTTTGTTTCTTATCGCCTTCAAATGCTGTTCACAAAATATTCTACTTTCAGAGAATATAAATATTAACTTAAACACTGTCACTTTGTTCATACAAAACTTTATAATTGGTGGTGTTGTTTTATCGCGTAAAGCTGGATAACAGTTTGATGCACAAGCCATTCCTAGAGGGAAACAGTTAGTCAACAATTACCCCCTTCAACTCCTGGTCAACTCTAATCGAATACTGGGATTTGGCTGTCACTTTTATAACATACCCGCAACCGCAAAGTACGAAGCGCAATTTTTATCGATATTTTTTCGACAACGGGACGCAAACCATAGACTCCCGGATCTATAGTCCGACACTCTAACCACCAGGTCACGCTAAGTCCAAAGTCCATAATTTAATCGAAGTTGCTACACCTATAGCAGAGATGGCTGATATTGGTATTAACGAACTTTTATTTAAAAACGCAGTACAAGTAACAACGTTTCGAGCTAATTAGTTCATCATCAGGTTAAGAATGATTTTGAAAAAGTGACTATTATTGATTATGTCTGGTGGAGACGACATGAATTATAGATATAAGATTGTAGGAGGTGTTGTCTATATTTAATTGTATTATTGATTTGATATTCAACAGTGTCATATCTTAAGTGAATACATTTAATGAAATAATTAATATATATATGTACATTTTTCTTGGTGCTGGTTTATTGTAAGTTTAACTTATCATATTATAAGCATTTCTTTAGTATTCGTTTATCTGCATTTGTTTCTCTGTTCAATATGTTAGTGTTTTCTATGTTTATATTGTGTTCATTTGAGTTGAGGTGTTCCAAAACATGGGAAGATGTTTTTTGGATTTTGTTTATCGCCCACTGAAACTATTTTCCATTTTACGGCTTGTGCTGCATTGCATTTTATAAATAATTTTATTATTATGTTTGGCAGGGTAGTTTGTACACAGTATAGATTTTAGTTTGGTTCCTGGTTTTTGGATGCTTTTAGTGCTTACTGGAATGTTATATTTGGTTATAAGTTTTTCCAAATGTTAGCTATTTTGTCTGGGATAGTAAAATATGCAGCAGTGTAGTGTTTTGTTATTAGTTGTTTCATTGAATATCGGATTGTTGATTGGCTGTCTATTATGTTGTTGGTTAAGGTTCTTGGGTAAAATTATTTCTACAGTTTTTGGAAGAAATATATTCACACTGATGTTGTTGTTTTAGTTGGTTAACTCCTTCATTAAGATTGTCAGGAGAGCAAAGTTTTATGGCTGTGTTTATTAGGTTTTTAAATATTTTCATTTGTCGAGTTGCAAGTACCTAGAGTTCAGTAAGAATAGTTTTTCCTGTGGATTTTTGTTTTGAGCTGCTTATCTGTTTTTGTGATATTGAGGCTTAGAAATGTCAGTTGCTTATCTTTTTCGTATTCGCTGAAGCTTAATATTTGGGTGTATGGAGTTAATATTGTCGAAAAAGCTACGTGCTTGCTCTGTAAATGTGAATCCGGCAAATGTGTCGTCTACATATCTATATCAGTATAATAGTGGGCGTACAGCTGAACTGATAGTTCGAGATTCAATCTTTGTCATAATAATATTTGCTAGAATTAGTGACACCGGATTGTCCATGCTTAAACCAAGTGTTTGTATGTAGTTTTGGTTGTTGGACATGAAATTAGATTTTGATATAGTAAATTCTAGAAGAGTTGCTAGTTGGTTACTAGAGATATGTATCGCTGGGTTGGTTGTAAAGTTCTAAAGCTATGTTACAGGCTTCTGTGGTTAGAGCGTTAGTGAAAAGGGGACTATGTGGAAACTAAGTATTAAGTCTTTTTGGTTTAATTGATCTAGAATAGTTCTGAAGTTAAAGGCAGCCTGCAGATATTAAATATGTGGAAAATTCCCACGATATGTATCAACGTAGGTTGTAGCTAAATGATTCTTAGGTCGACATTATGAGTCTTAATGAACAATCTGGTTTGTGTAGTTTGGGAGTTTCTTAAGCCTATGTTAAAGCAGCGACAAGAAATACTTTTAATATATATATATATAAATCAATCATTCCATTAAATGTGTTCACGTATAACATTGTTAACTAACAATATGATAATACAATTTAATATATACAACGACCTTACAATCTTATATCTATCATTATTGTCGTTCCCACGACACGCGATCAATAACTGACATCGTGAAAGTTGATACTTCTCGGCATAGCATATACCAAGAAGTATATGTTTTTTGTTCATACAAAAGCTAGTTAAATGAACGATAATGGAACTTCATTAGCAAGTAATGTTTTGCAATATTCTATCAAAATTCGGAAAGAAAACAAAATAAAATTCCGAGCTTCAACGAAAGCATTTGCACAGGTTTCAATAAATAGTTGACATACCACATTGTTTGTCAAAGTAAATACCATATCTGCTATGTCTACCAGAATACAGTATGATTTCAATAAATAGTTGACATACCACATTGTTTGTCAAAGTAAATACCATATCTGCTATGTCTACCAGAATACAGTATGATTTCAATAAATAGTTGACATATCACCTTGTTTGTCAAAGTAAATACCATATCTGCTATGTCTACCAGAATACAGTATGATTTCAATAAATAGTTGACATACCACATTGTTTGTCAAAGTAAATACCATATCTGCTATGTCTACCAGAATACAGTATGATAATGATTCCGCTGTTAACCATTTCAAACAGCTAGGCTTTTACCTACGTAACCTATCTGCATATTTATTGATTAACCTTATAGATCATCACATTAGAAACTTACGTTCAATATTACTAAGTATATTTCACAAAAATATTAACACCTTACATTCATAAGTGTTTTAAGTCATAGTTATCTTTTTTTTCACTTTACGTACAAATAGATTTCGCTTTATAAGCTGAGAAGAAAAAGCTTTAAAAGTTTTCATTGTTTTATTAAATATGAAAAGGGTTAGGTAATATTAAGATTTATAATATAAATTCATAACATAAATACAATGTCGATTGCCGTAATAGAAGAAAACTATTCCATTTTAATGTGTATTTGGGAATTCAATGTATTTTATAACTACTGAATGTATAACTCAAGTTATTAGCGATTGCACAAAATTGTTTTGAACAAAAACTCAAACCCTACAATGTTTGGCTATCTTAAAATTCCTATCTTGATAAAAGAGTTAGCACAAAGGATCACATATAAAGTGTAATAAACTTAAACTAAGACCCAAAACTCGAGCGCTTTCGAATAGTTAACTATTCAGCTTCAGGAAAATAAACACTTAACTATCATTCATATTCCTATAGTAAAAAAATAAATAGTAATGCTTTCTTTAATTATGTTCTATGTCAGCAATCAATTGGATTATATTTGTTATCTCAAAAATAAAATGGTTTAGAAAATATTAGCAAGAATATAGATTTTAACATAACAGGATATAATTACACATTATATACTATTTTACTTAACATAGTTTTAAACTATTCTGAGGGTAATTATTTCTTACTTGTAAACGTTGTTATGGTACTTGTTGTAACTGCCCAAAGCAATGAGTGAGCCTAAACCAAGTCCATAAGAAAAGAAGATCTGGGTGGCAGCATCGATCCATACCTATGCAGTAGAACCTATTCGTTGTATTATTTCTTCTGACTTTTAATCAACATTACAAATATTATTTGTAGTTGCTGTTTAGAAAATAGCAATGCTTTATTAATCTAAATATGTTTCCATTTGGATTGGTCTACAAAATAATTTATTCAAATTTTTTACTGAATTAAACGTTTAGTGAAGACTACATATATATATATATATACTTATACACACAGGTTGAGTGCTGCACTACGTTATTGGTTTTTTAATTAGTTATGAATACTGACCTAATAATCTGAGTTATTTTTTACGTTGCTGAGGGAAGCTTCACTTGTCACCCCCATTGGTGTGTTTTAAGTTTGTTTGTTTCAAGTAAAGCACAAAGCTACACAATGGGCTATCTGTGCTCTGCCCACCACGAGTATCGAAACCCGGTTTCTAGTGTTGTAAGTCTGCAGGCTAGGGAGCGTCTGTTTTAAGTAACTCCTTTTTCTTTTATTGCCTCTCCCTTTCATAATGAGCAATAATCATCCCACAATTAGTTACAGATTGTGAGTGTTAGTTGTGTTATTATTATTATTTGAGTCATTGCGCGTTTAAGCACTTACACAATGTATCCCCATAACTAAGTGGGCCACATTCCCTTGCACTATTAGGGTAGGTTTTTTCTAGTTTATTGTGTCCAACCTACATATACTATTTGTTCTTCGTCTAGTTGTTTGAAAATAAAATTTTAGTGAACATGAAATATTTTATTTCTCAGTATTTAAATGTGAATACAACTTTGCAACTCGTCTTTTTTGTGTACTTCTTTTACGCCTTATAACTTACATTAACTACCGAGTGCTGCGTGTTGTAGTTTCCTGTTTGTTAATAATTTTTGAATGTTTAGTGAATTCTATAATCTCTAAAGATTTTATTCCCAAATTATGAGATTTAACAAAAATATGACATAATCATTTGATTTGGTTTATATTCCTTAACATATATTTTAATCTAAAATATACTTCATCTTTATTGAATTAAGTTTCAGGAGTTTGCATACAGTGGAATCCAAAAGCTTGTCCATTTTGGGCATGACGTAGAACTTGATTCCTTCACCTGATCCTGGTAAAGTTAATCCTCGGATGAGAAGTATGAAAAGCAGAAAATAGGGGAATAAAGCTGTGAAATACACCACCTACAAAAATGTATTCAAGTAAAACATGGAATACATAAATCACAAAATATTTCAAATAGGAATACTTAGAGCTAGTATGTCACATGCATCATTTGTATCAGTTAATAGATTTACAAGAATAATTTGTTCCTTTCACAGTTACTTATTTTAGATTTTTAATAAATTTCAAAACTGCTTTTCTTATAAATGTGCGTACTCATAATTTAGTTGGCATACTGAAAACAAAACCTTATTGCACCCCCGAAAATGTCTCATTGTTAACTTATAGAGTAGCAATTATCTTATGAATCGTTTCAAAAGGTCTTCAACTACCTACTATAAACAAATTAACATAACATATTTGCTCAATATGAAATCTGTGAAATATAGCCATAAGAATTTATAGAACTCAGTTTTCTCGTTCAGAATATCTGTTCGGAGGACTGAACTTGAAGTTAGAATAAACTTTATTGGCGTACCTTTCCAGTCCACTTGACGCCTTTCCAAATGCAGAAGTAACATATGACCCAAGCTACAGCAAGAGTGATAGCTAACTGCCAACGTATATCGCCTGGTTCTTCCAAACCATGGGTAATCTGCAGAACGTTGCGCCTAAAATTAAAAGGATTGCTTATTACTAAATTTTAAATTATTATTTTTCCTTTGTTATTTTCCTGGGAATATTAAACAAAAGCAAATATTAGATATTCTAGTTTGCTTCTGTGCTCATTTTTGTGTCATAAAAGTTACTTTCTACTTCAAACCTGCAAAGAAAAATCAGAAAAAATATTATATCGGTGACAGTATGTTGATCAAAACTTGAACAGAATTGCTTGGAAAAAAAAATGTCAATTTGCGCGAACGAGACTTTTCTGGCCAATTATTGTGCTGTATTTTCAGTTTTTGTCAACCAGGACTAAGTGGAACTGGTACGAAATCTTGAGTCTAGAGTATTTCCATTGCTCAGTGATAAGTAAAACCTCAGTTAAAGAATGACATTTTCTTACTCTTTTGTAATAAACGTTTCAAGCTTATATTCATGGTCATATCTTCTTCTTCGGATGCAATTAAACTGGAATAGACACATAGAAATTAATATCAAACATCATGAACAAATGGAAAATAAAGAGTATTATGAGAAAAAAAACAGTTAATGAATGGCTTAGGCGTTACACATAATATACATTGACTTCTCGGTTTTATACACATTTAAAGCACAAGACCGTTCAAGGGTTTGAGGATATAAATTTGTAGGAAGATCATTTATATCGTATTCTGACAATAAATATGGACATTTCATTTACATATTTATGTGAAATATAACACAAGATGTAATAGATAACAACAATAAGAATAATGAGATATAGGTTTCCTACAGACAAAGGTAACACCATGAAAATTTAGAAATAACACTATCAGCTTAAAAATTCAGAATGATGTTAACAAAATAACCATTTCTAGTACAATCAATCTTTCAACTCTGGCGTCGCATTCGGTCTCCTTCTGAAAGAAAATTAGCACATTTCAACACCAGAGTTAGTATGACGCGAAAAAAATCAGCCAACTTTGCTGTGTGTTCGTTCATAAATGGACAGAATACGTGAAGAAAACCCTGAACTTAGGAAATATTTCTGGCACTCTTGTGCTTGCTTCAATCAGTTCTGATGAGGACAAACGCAAGAATGCTGAAACTTGGCCGAAGTGCTATGCTTTCCAGCAGTCTATCCATTCAGAAGCCAACAGCAACTACCTATGAAATTATTTAAAGAACACCAGGCAATCATATTATGTCATTTAGTTCCATGCTACTCGATAGCCAGCTTCCAAGAAAAAATACCCCCACGTATGTGAAATGCTAACACAAGAGATAATACTATATCTCCTTCATATTCGGACTCCCCCCCCCCTTCAACATTCGTGTGCCAACCTTCTTTAGCTCCCAATAAAGTTGAAGTAGACGACAAAAAAGTTAAAAATAATAATGTAGAGATATACTAAGATTTCTGCACTCAATGTTAGAAGTAGGGAGGGTAATGGTATTGGGCACCGTATCTTCCAATAGTTTCTTTGGTCAACTCTTAGGGACAAGAACTACATCTAATATAGGATCCCATTTGGTTTAGTGACATCGTGAATCTGGGATTTTCACCATTACCCAACACAGTGGATGCACAAAAAACAATTAACAATTAGCATTACTGAAGAGGAAGTAATTGTTAACAGTTAAATGGACTTAGACTTAACAGATTAACGGCGTTGGATATGGCAGTTTTAGTGTGGTTGATATGTCATGATACCTTTTTCTTTACTTTCACTCATTGCACTTTAAAAGGAAGCTCGTTTTAAACTGCTCGATAATCACTGAAATGACAAACAGTTTGCAGCTATTGGAACTGCTGAAAATGACTATTCTTTACGAATCAAAGATATCGTGGCCATCAAAAACTTGAATCCAGAATTAAATAAACAGTTTAGTATTGGTGAGTTTCTTTTGAAAGTTCAGTGATAACACTTAGGAATTTCTAAGTATTTTTTAAAGCAATTGAAGCGTTGCTTTTCACTGGATAATAATTCAGACGTGACAATAATAGATGGTAAATTAAATATATCACTGCATTTAATCCTACACATTACTAGCATTTTGATAGAAAAATAAGTTTTTCTTAACACCAACCTTATCGTGTCAGAAATAACACTTTGCATACATTATACACTATACAAACTAGCATCTATATATAAATTAACATCAAATTTATATTAAAATATAATAACCAAAATCATAACATTAAATACAGGTTTAACTAAAAATTACTTATCAAAACACATTATTCAAAACAAGTCAGGCCACAATGAAAGTTAAAATCATAACCCTCTAAACAAAACTGAACATTCACGACTCAAATTTAAGTGTCTAGCACACAAAAGCATGTCATTACCTTACCTGGCCCAAACATACCATTCTAATTTACACTGACTATACCAAGAAAGAACAGAATAACGCACATAGCTATTTTAGATAGCTTATAAATAGTACTAACTATGGAAGCCTTTTCCAGCTAGCCTAATAGAAACAAACAAACATTAAACATAGTTTATTCTAGTTACACCGATAGCCATTCACTTAGCTTTATTTTTTATTTGTTTGTAATTAAGCCCAAAGCTACACAATGGGCTATCTATGCTCTGCCCACCACCGGTATCAAAACCCGGATTCTACTGTTGCAAGTCCGCAGACATACCGCTGTGCTACTGGGGGGCTTCACTTAGCTAAAGATTTCATAAATTGTAAATACGAAAAATCAAAAATGAGAAAATTAAAAACCAAAACTTATGTTCTAAAATGGGCTATCTGTGCTCTCCCCATTACATGTATCGAAACCAGATTTTTTGCATCTAGAGAATTAAACGTACAACCGTAGCACTGGGGGGAAATTGAAAATATAACTATATGCATAAATTCTTTTAGATACTCTAAGATCACTCTTTTTATAAAAACAAGAATATCCTTTCCAGATATTAAAGCTTATTTCTAATCTAAAGATCACCCAATGGCTTACAATGAAACAATCATATTATTTATCAAATGCTTCATTCACAGTTAATTTAAGTCATTTAACCAAACCTAATATGCATGTGACAAGCCCAAAATTCTACAAATCTTATCACCTTAGGTTTTCTGAAACTTTATGTAAACTTACACTTTCTAAATTACAATGTTAATAGAAGGATATGGTTATAGTATGTGGGCATACTATAAGTTTGCTGTCTCATTTATTTAGTAATGTGAACATTTAAAGTTCACATTCAATATTTCAAAATTTTCCAACATACAAATGTATATAGGTTGAAAAGCAGAGTATTTGTCAAGTAATATGACCACATTTATTTCACCCTAGTTACCTGTTGTTCTGTCCATTTCTCTGTGTATCAAGTGCTTTCTCATGGGAAAGAATGATATGAATTAGAACATATTATACAAGATGAGCAGAATATTTTCCATTAGAAGGTGAGGTAATACCTCGTCCTTTATTTTGATATAGGAATGGCGATGAGTAATCTGGATAACACATGCACACAGAGAAGGGTGGCGTAATAGGTTCTTCAATATAATGCTATGCTCTATCTGTCTGAAACAGTTTATTCAGATACATCTAGATCTCTTTCAGCTTTAATTCAATGAAACCTTATTTTTTTCTTGATTTTTTGTGTTCGAAATAAAAATTCTTTCATTGTGTTCATAATATTGTGTCCTATCTTTTTCTTTAATTCAGTCAAAACCAAGAAGATACAGGTTTACTAGAGACTACAGAAAGCATCGAGGAATACAGTTTATCTCAAAGTACCACAGAACAAGGTAAGAGAGAGAAATTTTGATTCCTTAACCAAACTTTGTTATTGCAGAGTTTTCCATTTTCTCAATGAGGGCATTTCCCAGTGCTAATCTCGACTCTTTTTCATCTGAAAGTCTTAACTTGGTTGAATTCTGCTAGAAATTATTTATTTTGTGATGCAAAGAGAGCAAGCCAAGTTTATAGACAGTAACACTATTTAGAACATTAACCCAGTGAAAACCAAGAAAATACATACTTATTCTGCACAACAATTTCTGTTCAAACCTCTCATTAGAAAAGATGCAACCAAAACTGTTGAGAAAAACAGTTTATCTAGAGGTACCACATGATTCATATTGTTGCCTATACTGACAAATTTTGGATTATTACAGAATTAAAACACAGAGAACTATTATTTGGTATTTTTAATATAAACACGTGAAGAAAGGGCTAAGTGGTCATGTTAGAAACCCAAAGGTTCAGGTGCAGCCATACCTAAGTTAGAACTGTTTACCAGAGGTAGGGCAAATGGACAGTAGCATCAGCCACCTACAAGGCTAATTTTAACCAGTTAACACTCCACAGCTGAAAATACACACTGTTTTCAACAACATATCATAGCTCATACCATGAATCTTATGATCTGCAGTGCAATATTTTGATGACTATGATATTCCTAGCCAAAACAGAGAGGGAATATAACAAATAAAATTAAAATGCAATATAAATGCATTGAGTCTCTTTTGTTTTGATATAAAAATTGAAATTCTCGTTAGTAAAACCTTAATTAATAAAGTTAAGTCACATTTGAACCACTAGAATCATGGGTATATGTATATTTAATGGTCAGGATCTTGCCTATTTAGTTTTATGTGCAAATAAAGCTGTGATATACAAAATGTTTGGATCTTACATGGTTGAATAAAGAACCATCTCATCTGCGTTATAGATGGCTAAAATGAAGTTTTAAGCCCTTTGGGCTTGATCTAACTCTTTCCGAAGGTTGTATTCCAGCCTCTGTGACATCTTCCACTCCTGTGGATGCTCTTATTTGTCCTCATGGTCATGGTGGAGGCTCCCAACAATTATTACATGGTGTCCTTAATCAGCGTACAAGCACACTATAGCTTACAGATTTAATCCAGTGGTATTAGCGGTGGGAAGAGTGTGTTGCACATCTAGAATTTATTATTTGTTCCCCTATCTAAGTCTGTTGTATCTGGATATTCTGATTTACGTGTGTGGCATATATTTTCATTGTCCTGGCCATATCGGCATAGA